AATTCGCGTCGGGGGCTCACAGTCCGCCCTCTGGTGAGCGACGAGTTGCGGTTGAAGAGGCTGGCCATCATGTTACCCTGCTCCTCTTCCTCGCTCCCGGAATCGTACTCTTCCCCTGATTCAGAGCCCGACTCGGACTCGGAGTAGTCGTCGCGCTGGCCAAGACCAAGCTTGACGGGAGCAGACGAGCCGTTGAACCAGTTTTGCAGCGCGCGAATCTTGGGCTGGCTCGCGCTGGATTCGGCTGCGCTTCGCGATGGGATGAAGCTGGCAAGAGACTTGGTCGGTGATGATGATCGGCTAGTATGCTGCTGGATGGTCGATGTTGCGCGGCTAATGAAGGGTTTGCAATTTTCGAAAAAGGAGCCTGTCAAGGAGTGTTGGGACAGTTTGGGGAGGAGTGAGGGTAGTATTACTGTGGAGAAGGTGCGGTTGGGTTGTATGCAGTAGCAGTCGGAGAAGTCAGTGCCGAGGGCGGAGGCTGCAGGGCCGGTAATGTGGAGGTCGTAGAAGTTGTGCAAGTGATTCTCCACAGCAGGAACCGAGAGCTGGCGGCTGTGGCGTGGAGATCTGAAGTATCCGCGTGGTGAAGTCTGCGAGGCTTGAGGCAGTTCAATGGCCGCCTGCTGGCTCATAGCCATACCCGTGGCGGCCATGGCCAGTTGCAATAGAATGGGGCCGAGCTGGTCCCGCCGTTCGTCAGGAAACGAAGAATGTCCTTGTCGCCCACCTGTCTTTCCGTCCTATCACCGATCGGCTGGAATGACTGCTGTGAAACGTGATCGCCCTTGAGATGCTCGAAGAGGCGGTGCAGGGTCTCCTAGCCAACAATCAGGGCAAGACTCAATAGTGGTTATTCAATACGATCCACCAGGAAGGGCGGGCCGAAGATGGGCGGGGGCCGAGGGCGGTGGGTGCACTGGGGGAACTGCAGAGGGAGTCACCGTCCACAGCAGTTGGCAGTGGGTTGACTTTGTGTGACTTTGTGGTGGGTGTGTAGGGAGAGAGAAGAGGGGAAGGGAGGATTGCACGAGGCAACCAAGTGGGATGGGAGATGGTTGTGCCAACAGCGAACTTATTTTTTTTTGCGCGTGGCTGGCAGAGAGGCTGGGAAGGCTTGGAATCAAGTGATCAAGTGCGAGGCTGCGTCGTCACCATCCACTCACCGCAACATGCCATGCCTCTCCCCTCCACCCACACGCAGTCATCGCTTAGCGCTCCAACGGCCAGGTCACCGACGGGACAACCAATGTCTTTCATGTACCGGTATGAGCTACTGTCTGTACTAGGCCTGTCAGCAGTCCCAAGACGGGGACGGGGGGGGCTCGCTGTTCGCCCTTCGCCTCACATTTGCTGCCTGCGTCGAGATAGTATCCATGGAGGGAGGGAGGGAGGGACATGAAGAGTTGACTTTGAGGCACAACCATCACAAGAAGGCTGCAAGGATGCGGTCTGCCAACATCAACGTGGGGGAACGCGTCGGTGACGGGATAAACATTCGGCCAATTTACTTGGCATCGTAAACCCTTTACGGTACCGGTACAGAACGACGACTATCATCATCACCGCACAGAGAAACAAAACATCTGATAGGCAGCTATCTACACTTACCATAGCTCTGTCACACTTCGTCTCTCCTTTCTCTCTCTCTCTCTCTCTACTAATAGCTATCCTTATCATTCTCGCGTGGCCCACCGTTCAGCGCCGTCATTTGGCAGCACCTCCCATGACGCCTTCTCGCACAGGAATATGTGCTCTTTGACTACAGGCGGTGACTCGATATCTGCTAGACTTTGCTGTTCGATTGTGCCCACAGTGAAGAAGATGCGATCGGGCTTTATAGTAGTGGTCATGCTAACTGGTGTCCCGCATGCTGAGCAGAAAGTTCGTTCTGCATAGTCCGAAAGCTTAAGAACCTTGTGCGTCGATCCGCCAATGAACTCCACCGCAGTCATGGGCACTGAGGTGAACGGTAGGTAGCTCGATCCAGAGAGTTGCTGGCAAGCACGGCAATGACACATCGTCATGTCTGAAGGAGCGGTGCTAGACGTGTATTGCACTGCGCCACAGCGACAGCCACCCTTGAAGACAATCTCGTTCGTCGATGCTCTTGGAGTATATCGCGATCCATCTGCGGCTAGCAAAACGGTTAGTGTTCTTGGTCTCGTCAAGTCCTGAACATCTCACACTCACGCTTCCTTGCTACAGCCAGGAAGACCGCATCAATCTCCTCAACTTTCCCGTCCACTGCCAGCTTTTCCCACTCTTCCTTGTATATGCCCTGTGCCTTTCTTCGGATGTCATTGTTCGCAAACGCTCGAGTGACATCCTTCAGGATAACGTTTTCAACAAAGAAATCGTCCCATCGCTCCAGATCATGGACTCTCCTGCCGTACCCCGCCTGGTTCTCTACTGTGACGAGCTTTTCAACTTGGAAGCCTGCGCTTTCGAACTTTTGCTTCAGCGTAGATTCCGTTCGGCTCCATGACCGGTTGTATGGAATAGGCAATTCCAGTCTTCGAGCCGTCCGTTCAAGGACCATGCCAGATACAAGGTTTCGTGGATGTGTCGCGTCTGCCGCGATCACACCTCCAGGCTTCAGATATTTGAACCAATGTACAAGCGCAGTAATTGGATCCGGAAGTAGTACCAACGCAGAGGCTACAGTGATGACATCGAACAGTCGATCTTTGAGCTCCTCCACCCTGTCCAGACGTAGGATGTCGCCTTCAATGAACTGTACATTGGCATATTTGTCCCCAACCTGCTCCTGTTTGCGAGTCGCTATCGCTAGCATTCCCGGCGTGACATCTATACCGACCACTTGACCGGCTGATCCCACTGCGTCTGCCTCAAGAAAGGTTAGTAGACCTGTTCCACAAGCTAGATCGAGTACGTGTTGGCCAGGCAGTACGTCAAGATAGGTCATGAAGCGCTTCGTGAAGTCTGCATGCCATGTATTGTCATATTCGCTTGACTTTGCTTGGTAGAACTTAATGGCGCTGTCTGCTTGTCGCTCGACCGCCATGGTATTGTCGAGCGAGATAGGGGCTCGCTTTCACTGCTCCGGAAGATGGTGCAAAATGATGATTATGGTTTGCTCATCTCAGTCGTCCGCAAGATGGGTGGGGTGCGTTGCTAGGAGGGCGCCTAACAGCGGTTTCAATTGGACCAATTGCATCTTACCAAGATCAGTCTGACAGGCTGGTGATGACCTCACATCGAAGTCAGTCATCGGTAGGGAGCGCATTTTGAGATGCACTGCTAGAGATCGAAAGTACGTGTCCGGTGTTTACTAAGACTACGCATATACGGCAAGCGTGCCTGACTGGGAATTGCCAGGTACCGTAGTGGTACCTAGAGCGGCGCTACCTACCGTATTGCATTCAACCACGTCTAAACTGTCTGTCTACATGATGCTATTTTGGATCTCGGCAGGGCGACATGATAACGATTGCATCGATCAAAGCTCTCTGCTATCCGGCATCGTCAACGCCATCGAGCATTCAGGTAATTAGTACAATCTCCACCTTCAAACGTGAAGACATGCTGTCAGTTGACGAGTAGAGAGAGCTGGCGCTCGAAAAATCATTGGAAGAGGAGACCCTGCTGAAACTGAGCTGGATCCAGGACATTTTGGACCTGAAACAATAGGGATCATCGAGGGTTGTCCCATCACAATCACATCAGTCCCCCCACTTCAGACCCACGCTATTCCCCGAACACAATCCAAGTCTACCTGTGAATCTCGAACGAACGATCAGATGGCATCGAGATTTATAGTGCTGAAGCCAAACGTACCGGCTATATTCTGGTGGAAGTGAACAGGCTAATCGGCACTTGAGAACAAATGCCCCACTGCACCCCGCAACATGGGGTGCATGGGGAGCCGCTTTGATAGCCTTAATATCAATTCTATGGTACAGTCAGGGCTCCTATAGTGCGCCAACCCACACACTTCCTGGCTATGATCGTCCGGCGAGTCGGCGACCAGTGGCATTCCGGAAGACCAGGGAGATGTGATGATCCATTCAAGTCTATAATATCCAGATAGAGACAAACATCATGCCAATCGTGATATCTATCTGAGCACAGTAGGCCAAGAATGGTAACGTGAGTGATGGCTTCATCACAAGTTATTGGAACATTCACTTTTCAATAGCGGCGACAGGCCGTAATACTGAAGAGCAGTTGTTCCATCAATGAAAAGGTGTTCGAAATACGAAATACCCGTTATGAGATGTCAGAATGGGCCTTTGCGGATAATGAGACGTCTGAACGTTATCTGGTACAGTTGTGTTGTCACTGTTATCTCGGTCACTCATCTTCAATGTGAGTTGTGAAAGCCAAAAAAGAAATCTTGTACGGAAGCAGTTTTGCGAGTAACCGTCAAGTTAAGATTTTATCTCTTGTATTAGATCTGGACGGTAACCACAGCTACACGATCAAACAAGGCGTTGTGGTGCACTGCTCCAGAATCTCGTGGCGACTGTCCACCCAGTTTGCCAAGCCGTATTGCTTTAATTGGTTATAGTCACGCTGCAAAACTCACTTTGCATTGTTGAAACTTCATCTAGGGTGCATATTTTGCCGCTTAGTGTCGATTGCTCGGTGAGCGAGTGTGATTGACACATAAAACGCAGTAGCGCTCACATTCGCAAGCTTCCACAGCATTCTTCGACCCCAACCTATACCCATCATGAAATACTCCATAATCCTGCCATTCCTTGCTACGACCGTGCTCACAGCACCAGTTCTTGAGCAGCGTCAGGATAATGTCTGTACCGTCCCGACGACCTTCCCAACTACTGCCAACGCGAAGCTACCCAACCCATTCAAATTCTTCGATGGCAGGGACGTGAAAACCAAGGCCGATTTCGACTGCAAGAACCAGGAAGTGAGTGCTGCCATGCAGGCACAAGAGTTGGGAGACTTTCCCAAGAAGCCTTCATCTGTGACTGCCACCTTCTCTGGGTCTTCACTTTCCATCACGTCAACCGAGGGAGGCAAATCGGTCTCTTTCTCTGTGTCCATCAAGAAGCCAAGTGGTGCGGGGCCCTTCCCAGCCATTATTGCCTACGGCGCTGCCAGTATTCCCGTCCCTGCAAACGTGGCGACAATCACGTTCAACAACGATGAAATCGGTCAACAACAAGGTGGTAACAGCCGTGGAAAAGGGAAATTCTTCGACCTCTACGGCTCCAGCCACAGCGCTGGTGCACTTACAGCCTGGGCTTGGGGTGTTGACCGCATCATCGATGCTCTTGAGATTACTCCTGCCGCGGGTATCGATCCGAAGTTTGTGGGCGTGACTGGATGCTCCCGTAACGGAAAGGGTGCGTTTGTGGCTGCTGCTCTTGTCAAGCGTATTGCCCTCGGTCTTCCTCAAGAATCTGGCGCCGGTGGAGCAGCATGCTGGCGTATTTCCGACTCGGAAAAAGCCAAGGGCAAGAACATCCAGACATCAAGCCAGATCGTCGGGGAGAATGTTTGGTTCTCCACTCGGTTCAACGCCTTCAGCACGAAGGCGAGCACCACATCGACCGACCACCATCAGCTCGCTGGAATGGTGGCTCCTCGCGGCCTGCTCGTCATTGAGAACGAGATTGACTGGCTCGGTCCAGTTTCTACTACAGCTTGCATGAAGGCTGGCCGTCTCATCTACAAGGCGCTTGGTGTCCCCGACAACATGGGCCTCACTGGGTCAGGCAACCACAACCATTGCTCGTTCCCATCGAACCAGCAGACTGAACTCACTGCATTCATCAACAAGTTCTTGTTGGGACAGTCATCCAACACTGCGAACATCGAGAAGGGCCCCAGTGGCGCTGACGCTGCGACCTACATTGACTGGACTGCGCCCACGCTCTCTTAGGTTCATCCACCTTCCCTATCGGTGTTGGATATGGGATCGGCTTAAGTGATTCAGTCTTTCTTTTCTTCTTCTTATGTAATGAGTTACAAGTCTCGATAGCAATGTGTATAGAAAAGTACAAGAATATGAAACGCAGTGGTACCATCTTGGAGTGTGCAGGCTTCTCACGTCGTACGAGGTGTGTGCGGTAGTCTGACTTCCAGAGTCAGCATCAGAATAGTGACTGCCCCCTTAATGATCACCATGATGAGAAGCATAATGATATGCGTTTCATGCAGCCAAACGGACCCCACAGGTCGCTGGGATCACAATGTGGTGTAATCGACGGTCTTGACAGCCTTATGAGAGCTTGTTCTGATGTTCATCGGACCGTGATCAGAGGGCTTCCAAGATACCTATGGAGGGGTCATGGACGTGGCACTTCACTCCACTCGTTCGGTGCAGTAGTCCAGTAGCGCTCGGCACTAGCCCTGTCAGGCAGATTGTTGTTGTCGATACTCACCCTCTCTCTCTCTCTCTCTCTCTCTCTCTCTCTCTCTCTCTCTCTTCTTCCCCCTTCTTCCTCCCCCGCGACTGAATACCATAGTGAAGGCGTGAAATAATGAGGGTGAAGATGAAAGGCATTGCAGGCGTCTTTGCAGTGGGTACGCTGATTGGCCGAAGAAACCGCGTCACATGACTGCCAAGCCACTAACCTCTCGCGGTCGGACGCATGGGCAGGAGACTCAGACGCTCTCCGCCAACACCAAGTCGACCCTACCGCGATATCATCCAGCCGTTGCGCCCGCATCTCCAAACTCTCCGCAACACGCCTGTCACAACGCGTGCTGTCACTCTTCCCTTCTTTTGCGCGCGCCCGCGCCTCCACTCTCGGTCCCTGCGTATTTGCGCCCTACCCCCTCCCTTTCGAATCCCTTCACACGACGCGACCACCGCGCCCGGCGGGTGAAGTTCCATCGGCTTCATCCACGACGCGGCTGCTGCCACGCCGACTTCGCACGATAATGCGATAGCAAACAGTCGCGCGCCCGATTTCGACCCCCGCGACTGTCTTTCCTCTGCCATTGCACCCTTTCCGCCTCCCTGGATCCACGTGCGGCCACTTTGTTTGAGACGTTTGGTGGTCCACATCGGCCTCTCTTTGCGCTATCCAGCTTCCACACCAGAAACTACCCGTCATGGCGTCCGTTCAGCCCACCCCAGAAATGGGCGGGCCACGCCAGCTGCCTGGTAACCTTACGCGTGAGCACATCAGCCAAGTTCTTAAGGTACGTCCAACAGTCACTTGCGACCTGGTGCCAAGGCCATCTTCCCCGACATGCAACTGACTAGATTCGCAGAGGTATCAAGAGATGAGGCAACAAGGTGTACCCGAAAACAACCCCGAACTCCTCAAGGCGCGCAACCTTCTCGCCATGGTTCAGAAGCAGAACCAATATCAGCAACATCAGCGTGCAGCAAGCCAGCAACAAATGCTACTCCAGCGCCAGCAAAGCCTTTCTGACCAGGCTGGCGCCGCTGCAGGCTTGTCAAATGGGGCGAAACCCACTGGCATGGCAGATGGAAAGGTCCCTACAGGCGCGTTGACTCCCGGCATGTCTTCTTCTAACATGCAAATATCGACAGCAGGCGGTCAAGCAGCCTCTGTTGACAGCCAAACCCCAACTTCAGCGACCAGTGGTTCGACAGCCCTTTCAAAGGAGCAGCTTCTCATGCTACGCACTCAAATCACTGCTTTCAAGAATCTCTCCAAAGGAATACCATTGCCTCCCACTATGCAGCAACAAATCTTCGGTCATCATCAGATGAAGAAATCTCAGCATGTTGCAGAGGCAGTGGCTGCAGCCTCCCAAGTCCTGGATAATGCTACACGCGCTCCGAGCGCCAGTGGCGGTGCAGTCCAAAACACTCGAACCCTGCCACGCCTCCCAGATACCTTTATTGAACCGTGGAGTAGTGAAGCTTTCCGCGACGTCAACTACATATCGCATACACAGCGTCGGAATCGTCCGTACCTTGCGTCCATCATGCCACAAGGTGTTGATATCGATGCGGTCCAACAGAGCATGGAGGACTTGCGTAAAGAGCGAGAGGTACTCTTGTACAACCGTCTTACGGCGAGGAAAGCTGAATTGGAAAAGCTCAATGCCAACATTGGTTCATGGGACACCAGCAAGACCGATTCCCCCGAGGATGATGGAAAGGTCAAGTTGGCACTCATCATTGAGCAGAAGAAGCTGAACCTGTTGGAAAAGCAGCGCAAATTACGGAGAGAAATCGCCCAACAAATGATTCATGCTGACAATCTCGCCATGACCGCGAACCGAACGGTTTACCGACGTTTGAAGAAGCAGTCCATGCGTGAAGCTCGCTTGACCGAAAAGCTCGAGAAGCAGCAGCGCGACGCCCGTGAGACCAAGGAGAAGAAGAAACACCACGAATTCATCGATGCTATTCGAAAGCATCGCACGGAGCTCCAGGAGTCTGGCATGGCACAGCGACAACGCCTTCAAAAACTCGGCCGTACAATGATCTCCACGCACCAGAACATCGAGAAGGAAGAGCAGAAGCGTATCGAGCGAACAGCCAAGCAGCGTCTGCAGGCTTTGAAGTCTAACGACGAAGAGACTTACCTCAAGCTCTTGGGACAAGCCAAGGACACTCGTATTTCCCATTTGCTGAAGCAGACCGATGGTTTCTTGAAGCAGCTTGCGGCTTCGGTGAAGGCACAACAGCGATCTCAATCAGGCACATACGCACCTGAGGACGAAGAGTCAAGCGATGAGAGCGAGGACGAGACTGGTGACGAACAACATGCTGGCAAGAAGAAGACAGATTACTATGAGATTGCCCATCGTGTCAAGGAAGAAGTTACCGAACAGGCGTCGAACCTGGTTGGTGGTACTCTGAAGGAATACCAGTTGAAGGGTCTACAGTGGATGATCTCGCTGTACAACAACAATCTGAACGGTATCCTCGCTGATGAGATGGGTCTTGGCAAGACGATTCAGACGATCAGTTTGATCACCTACCTCATCGAGAAGAAACGCCAGCCTGGCCCTTATCTAGTGATCGTGCCGCTCAGTACGCTCACCAACTGGACCAACGAATTCGAAAAGTGGGCGCCAAGCGTAACAAAGATTGTTTACAAGGGCCCTCCAAACTCCCGCAAGCAGTTTCAACAGCAGATTCGCTGGGGCAATTTCCAAGTTCTGCTCACAACATACGAGTTCATCATCAAGGACAGGCCGGTTCTCAGCAAGATCAAGTGGGTACACATGATCGTTGACGAGGGTCATCGCATGAAGAATGCAGGCTCCAAGCTTAGCATGACGATTACACAGTACTACACGACACGATACCGACTCATTCTTACCGGAACACCCCTACAGAACAACTTGACAGAGTTGTGGGCTATGCTCAACTTCGTCCTTCCTACCATTTTCAAGTCGGCTACCTCTTTCGACGAGTGGTTCAATACTCCTTTTGCAAATACTGGAGGGCAAGACAAGATGGAGTTGACAGAAGAAGAGCAGCTTCTTGTCATTCGTCGGTTGCACAAGGTTCTCCGGCCCTTCCTTCTCCGTCGCCTCAAGAAGGATGTCGAGAAGGATCTCCCAGACAAGACCGAGCGCGTCATCAAGTGCAACTTCTCAACTCTACAGGCCAAGCTCTATAAGCAACTCGTCACACATAACCGTTTCATGGTCAGCGATGGCAAGGGCGGCAAGACGGGAATGCGTGGTCTGAGCAACATGCTCATGCAGCTGCGTAAGCTCTGCAACCATCCCTTCGTCTTTGAAGAAGTTGAAGAAGTCATGAATCCCACAAAGAGTACCAACGACCTGCTATGGAGATCTGCAGGTAAATTCGAGCTTTTGGACAGAATCTTACCAAAATTCCAGGCCACTGGCCATCGAGTTCTCATGTTCTTCCAGATGACTCAAATCATGAACATCATGGAGGACTACCTGCGTTTACGAGGAATGCAATATCTTCGTCTTGACGGTGCAACCAAGGCAGACGATCGATCAGAGCTGCTGAAGCTTTTCAATGCTCCGGATTCGCCTTATTTCTGCTTCTTGCTATCAACTCGTGCTGGAGGTCTGGGACTGAACCTTCAGACTGCCGATACCGTCATCATCTACGACTCCGATTGGAATCCTCATCAAGATTTGCAAGCCCAGGATCGTGCGCATCGTATCGGTCAGAAGAACGAAGTCCGCATTCTTCGTCTTATCACCTCGAACTCCGTTGAAGAGAAGATTCTTGAACGCGCAAATTACAAGCTGGACATGGATGGCAAAGTTATTCAAGCTGGTAAATTCGATAACAAATCTACAAACGAGGAGCGTGACACAATGTTGCGTATCATGTTGGAGTCTGCCGAAGCGGCCGAGAGTCTTGAGCAGGAAGAAATGGACGATGACGATCTGAATCAGATCATGATGCGTCACGAGCACGAATTGGTCACATTCCAGGAGATGGACCGCAAGCGCATAGCAGAGGATCCGTATGGCCCTGGCAAGCCTCTTGGACGCCTTGTTGGCGAAAGCGAATTGCCAGACATCTACTTGAACGAAGAAGCACCCGCGGTAGAGGAGAAGGATGAAGGACCTATTGGACGTGGTGCTCGTGAGCGAACACGCGTCAAGTATGACGACGGACTCACCGAGGAGCAATGGCTTGAGGCCGTTGACAACGATGAGGACACGATCGAAGATGCCATTGCTCGCAAAGAAGCCAAGATCGCCAAGCGTGGTAAGAACAAGTCTGGCCGAGCTGGTATTGACGGTGGAGATTCCCCGGCTCCCTCGCGCGAGAGTTCCGAGGAGCCTATGCCCAAGCAGCGCGGCCGTGGGCGTAAGCCAAAGGCCGAGAAGCGCAAGGCAGATGACGCCTCGCTGGATGGTGATCCCGCACCACGGAAACGCGGCCGTCCTGCACCAGCCAAGGATACGCTCAGCCCTTCCCAGCGCGCATCATTGCAAAAGATTCTTGACACTGTTCACGATGCGTTGATCGATCTCGAAGAAGAATCAACTGACCCCGACATTCCTAATCGAGGTATCATTGATCCCTTCCTTGATCTGCCCGACAAGTGGGACTACCCAGACTACTATCAACTCATCAAGAATCCCATTTGCATGAAACAGATCCAGAAGAAGATCAACAAGAAAGAATACCAGAATCTTCGTCAGTTCCGTCAAGATCTTGGTCAGCTCTGTAATAATTGTCGCCTTTACAATGAGGATACCAGCCTCTTGTTTGCCGACGCCAATCTAATTGAGCGGACTGCCCTGGATAAGATGAGAGAAGCTACAGCAGAGTTCCCAGAGTGGCAAGATTATGATGATGCTGGCAGCTTCAATGGTGGATTGAGCACGGCGATGACGAGTGCGGTTGGTACTCCGAGAGGTGGGGCATGAAACTGAGTACGTATGATACTTAATACCTGACAACATAATGCGAACATACGCTAACGTTGATCAGTTGTCAAGCAAACAAATTCGACTGCTCAATTATTTAATGGTAGCACCACGCGCCCAGCTCCTCTAGCCACCTCGCACAGCTAGAAGAATCCTGGGACCTGCTGTACCTCTTCTCAAAATGTCGTTATCTGCTGGATTTGCATCCTTGCCATTTCAACAAGACCGGTCGTCGTAGAGAAGGTTCTTGGGCATACACTGCAACATCCCCCCTTTTTTCCCTTTTCACCCTCTCGCACACACACAAACCCACGCCTTCTTCGACCGACGTTCCTGGAAGGCTTGTCGTTTTCTTTGGGCAGCATGATGGACACGAATCATGGGCTTTTTTCCAAGTGTATCGGTGGTTCTGCCTGGAGTTTATTGTTTCTCGAGTTGCTTATCTTTGTGTTTCTGCAATGGATGGGAAAATATGGGGTTTTTTTCTTGACAGTCCTGCTCTGTTCCTGCATCGGCTAGTAGTATAGCAGTAGTGAGGGTGGGCATTTTGAGGGCCGGAATGAGATGTGTATTGATATGTATGCCATGCTCTTGTGTCTTTTATGCTGTGATGTGTTATATGTGGTGCGGTGATGTTACTTGTCAAGGGAGCTGCAAGACTGGTGGGAACAAGGTGGAATAAAGGTGTCACGTCTTGGACACATTGGTGTTTCGCATGTGACGCTGACTACTTTACACATGCATGATTCATCCCCCATCTCGCATGATATCTCACCAGGCCATCAGAATAGCGCACCAGACCTTGGGCACAATACCCTATTCCCCTCTTCGTGCGTCCCGTGTCCAGGAAAAGGCCTTCTACCTCGTCCCCCGAAACATATACACATTTGCATATACGTGTACGATCGTGAGACTACGTCCTACGCACACGTGCCCTAATCGTTCTTTTACCCTTCTTCCCTGCCTTCCTAGTATCCACGTATCTGCTGTCTGTCTGCATCATTCCCGTGTCTGCGTCCTGGATCTCGCGTGAGATACTATGGAAGTACCATGCTGTGGCGACTTGTGGTTTTTATATAGATCGCTGCTATGGTGGGTTGGTGCAGGAGGCTGGCGGGTTGTTGTTTATTGCGGCTAGAAGGGACGTGTGCGAGATTTCACACGGTTGGGTGAGATATACACTGTATCATGGTGTGATGTATGACAGTATAGTCAAATGGCACGACACTCACTTTGTGTCAGCGCGGGCGCGCTGGCCGTTCGCAAGAGGCAGAAGAGTAGTGCACCGAGTAATGCACCTCTTGCCTAATACTATTATCATTTGTGAGTCCCGCATCAGAGAGCTCGAGGATCGCATCCGCGGCTGGCGAAGAGACGGTTGCGGTGTTGTGCAATTTCTCCGGTCTCAGTCTCATAGTCCTGTGGTGAGCGGCGATGCTGCCCTTGCGGGGTGGCGGGAGCTCGGCTTCGGTCTCCATGGAGTCGACGGTGATGTCGTGGTAAGGGGGTCGGTGGGAGGAGCTTGCCTTTGATGATTTGGAGCGTTTGCGGGACTCGCTTTGGTCGGAGAGTGGGTAGCTTTCCGAGGTGCCGTGGACGCGGATGAGTTCGCCGTGGCCGAAGCCGGTGTTCATGGATTCGGTGAAGCGCTTGAGTGCGGCGAGGGTGGCGGCGGCGACTGAGTAGGAGAGTTGGACGGCTTGCCAGATTAGGACGAGAGCGGCGTTGGGAGAGATGTTGGAGGAGGTTGTGAGGTTGTGTGTTGCTTTGTAGCGTATGATGGAGAAGATGAGAGTACTGGTGCATGGTCAGCAAAGACTACCATTTTCGGTGTCTGTCTTGCATACTTACGGTAGTCGTAGCCAGAAGGCAGCGATGACATAGATTCTATTTCGACAGTCCATCTTGAGACCCCAGACTAATTGGAGAGGCAGGAGCAAGAGGAGAAGTTCGGTAAGGATGTCCAAGATGGTTATAACCAGCCATCTCGCCTCTTTCCCCGGACATTCCTCCTGTCCGGATTGTAGATCCCAAGCAAGTGTGTGTGAAGGAGAACATTTCAAAGTCAAAAGGATAATGGAGATTACACACTGTGTTCCTATTAACAGTCCAACGCCATGTTGTACTCTCCGATGTGAGCGAGTTCGAGTTGTGCGCAGCAGCATAGCTACAATGACAACCTTGGAGACACATAGAGCGACCATCCATGTGAGGTTGCTAGCTAGAATGACTTTGTTCAATTGATCGACAAAGGCTTGTTGTTGCAAGTCAAGCTCAGCATCCGGACGACCAAGTCCTCGCGCAGCGGACGCATAACCACAGCCGAAGAAAGCAAGAGCTAGAATCTGATTGCTTTGATTAGCGAATACATTGTTCCACATGAAAAAGTAAAGTTATTTTGCCAACCGTTGAAATTAGCACGACCCCATCATCTACAGCGTAGGCACGCCATCGAATAAACGCGCGAAGGACGAGTACACATAGCGTGTAACAGAGACACAGGCCCAATGCAAGTCTTAGCCCGGCTGTATTTCCAGAGTGTCGAACCACGGCGCTCTCATCCCTTCCTGACATGTTGTGAGGCTACAAGAGCAGAGTATCTTCGAGATAGCAGCAATTCCAATCTTATGCCTTTTCATGCACGTGGTGCAGAGTGGTATGTGGCGCTGTCACTGTTGCTGTGGTGCGATGGAGATATCACATGCGTTCTCCAATCTGATCCTTGCACGTTGAATTCTTGTCGGAGATGCATAGTGTACTCTTCTGAGTCAAGAGGGTTTGGTTGAGAGAGACACAGTGCTCTCCAGGCAGACCTCCTCCAGCTCGTTCTCTTTGATAGCGAGCATCGGCCAACCTGTAGCAGGCATTACGCACCGGAGAGGGGATGAAAGTTCGGTCCCAAGAGCCTAAAGTCGGTACTCTACTCTGTGCCACGTGTAGCTGATCCTTTGAAAGTAGTAACGTAGTTGTTGCGTGTACACCCTGCACTTGCTTGGCTCATGCATCATCGCCCATCAGTGGATCAAGGATGTGGCGTAGACACACGTGTAGCCTATCCCTAGCCATCCACGGCACACTCGGCCCGCGTGGGACTTGCAGCATTTCCTGTTCACTAGGACTTGAAGCCGCAATTTTCCAGTACTCTTTCAAAGTTAAAAAAAAAGGTACATTGGGTGGTGGAATATTGGACTAGCCTGGGCAGATGGTGACTCTGGGTGAGGCTCCTGTGAGAAGCCAGTTACGCAGGACCGACGTCCGTAGCGTTGTACAACGTGTTGTACAGATGCAGATTGACATGAGCAGTACCGTTGCAGTACGTCCTCGATATATTAAACATGTCAGTTTTCTGGCACGAGCCCATGGAACGGCTAGAAGGCGGGAGCTTGAGACGGAGCCGTTCCGGTATCCCCAAGCGACGGCAAACAGGAGTAGCTCTGCGGGGTTTTCGTTTGACGACAATTTTTGCGACTGATTATTACTCTTAGGCATATACCTAGAGAAAGATGCATGAAGATTGCCACCAAATTACTTCATCCTCCACAGGCTTAATTGCTTGTCCAGCGAATCCATGCATCCCGTCTCAATCTCGCTTACATGCCTCGGTCGAACGCAGCAGATGATGAGAAGGATTCGGGACAGGAGAGCATCTGCCTGTCCCTCGACGTGAAAAACAGGATTGTGACTGCAACAACAGGGGCCACATAGCCATGCAAGAGCCGAGCTTTCGAATTCAGTGTATGCCGTTCAAAACTCCATGAACGAAAGAAATGAGCAGAATGCTCTCATTCTTCTGGAATCTTAGGTAGTCCACAAGCCTTCCCACCCTCTCCCATCCCGCACAAGCGTCGGCTACCTACCCTACCTCCTTCATCTTTACTGCTAGAGTAATTCGCCTACTAGTATTCCATCGTTCCACATGCACACACCCCGTATTCGGACGGGAAGGATTGCCACAATGGGTAGCTTATTCTTCCCCAGAAAGGCAGCCGGCAGATTGCTACTTCATACCGTTTGCCTCCGCGGCCTTGCCCAGCGTTTGCAAGGCCCACTTACCGTGTCTATTGCCCCGTCAAGACTCGCACAGAGTCGCTGTCCTACATTTAGCAATACCTTATCACTCTCCTTCTTCTTCTTGTAGGTGCTTGCTGCTGTCTGTCTGCTCTTGCATAACAGCGGTCACCGTCTTGGTCATGGCTTTCTTTCGAGAGGCGAAGACGATAAACGCCATCAAGGAGTACGACGCCAGCAGTAACGATGCGGATAGAATACAAGGGAGCCCATTGGGTGGCACCTTACACGATGCGCAAGACATGAATCGAATGGGTAAGAAGCAGGAGCTTCGGGTACGTTGAAGGCGTTTGGGGCTTTGGGCAATCTTAATGACGATCATAACAGAGGAACTTTCGGTTGATATCCATTATTGGATTCGTGGTCGTTCTACAATCGACATGGGAGAGTGCCCTGCTGCATGTCAATTCCTATTCTTCATAACAGTGAATATCTCCTGGCTAACAATGGTCCATCAGATCAGCCTACTTCGGTCTCTTCAATGGCGGTACAGCCGGCGTCATTTGGATGATGGTCATCACATGGCTCTTCGTGCTCGCCATGATCGCCTCACTGGCCGAAATGGCCTCGATGGCTCCTACTGCGGGCGGACAATACCACTGGGTCTCTGAGTTTGCACCACCATCATTTCAAAAGCCACTGAGCTACATAGTTGGTAAGACCAAACTTACATTGACTTCGTCACAACAACTTTCAATTGACCATCATCACAGGCTGGAGCGCAGCGGTGGGTTGGGTCAGTGGAATTCCAGCATGTGCTCAGATGCTTTCCTCCCTCCTCATCGGCATGGTCCTGCTCGCATACCCCGATGCGCAAATCGGAGAACTCTGGCATGTCACACTCATCATGTTCCTATGGCTCTTGCTCATGGTTGGCTTCAATCTCTTCCTCGCGCAACATCTGCCATTAGCCGAAGGCATCGTACTTGTGTTACACGTCTTCGCCTTTTTCGCCTTTCTTATCCTCTTTTGGAACATGGCTGAACGCTCACCTGCGAATCAAGTCTTCACCACTTGGACAAACGGAGGAGGCTGGAGCTCAATGGGTGTATCGGCGCTCGTTGGTCTTGGTACTCCATTATGGTGCTTCATTGGGCCGGACGCGGGTGCGCACATGTCTGAAGAGCTCAAGGACGCCTCGCGAGTTCTGCCTCTGGCCATGATGTGGGCCGTCTTCTTCAATGGCGTCTTTGGCATCATCATGATGATCACCTTTGTCTTTTGCGGCGGCGCTTTGCAATCCGTCTTGGACTCTGCCACTGGCGTTCCTGTCCTACAGGCAGTCTACAACGCTACAGGCTCAGTCGCTGGCACCGAGGTCATGGGCGCCTTGCTCGTTCTTCTGATCTTCTTCGCCGCCGTCTCAGTCACGGCTGCCTCGTCACGCCAGATCTGGGCTTTTGCGCGCGACAAAGGCCTCCCATTCTCTTCCTGGATCGAGCATGTCCCTGTAGGATGGGATATTCCAGTCAATGCGCTGCTCGTCTGCCTTGGCTCGTCGCTGGTGCTAGCTTGCATCAATTTCGGCTCCGAAGTCACACTCAACGCTATCGTATCGATATCCAATGCCGCGCTCATCTTCTCATACATCATCTCGATTGGATGTGTCCGGCTCAAGCGGCTGAGAGGTGAGCCTCTATTGCCTCGTCGATGGAGCTTGGGTAAATTTGGGGGCATCATCAATGATCTTGCGCTCGCATTCTTGATCGTAGCATTTGTCTTCTCTTTCTTCCCAATGACACCAAATCCGGCAGCCGTGGATATGAACTGGGCCGCACTCATGTTTGCTGCACTGGCTGTCATTGCCACAGCCAACTACTTTGTCAGTGCAAGGAATAGCTACATCGCTCCGGTGTCACTAGTCAAACAAGACTGAGACTCGAGAATTTCATGGTATATACTTAATGTAATATGATGCCCATAAAGGCCTGCGCGTAAACTGTCTATAGGATCTGGTCAAGCTCGCAATAGCAAACATGGTTCTCGAGCCACTTTTCCCTCCACTCTTCTTCCGAGGCCAGTTCGAGAGTACAGGGTGCCACATAGCTAGGAAAGCCATAGTGCCTGAGATCCTCACGAGCTGCTGATTGTGTTGACCAGCTGATTGTGTTGACCAGCTGATTGTGTTGACCAGCTGATTGTGTTGACCAGATGTTGCACTATTCCTCACGAAGTGAGCCAGCCCATTGCGGATCTCTCTTGCCAATGCCCTTGCGCTACTTTATTTAGCAATTTTCGACTGAGTGGCCTTCCAAATAGACCCCTCTGAAGAAATCGAGGTTTAAACCAGGAATTGCATGCCTGATCTATGCCTTGGGCTCGGATAGTAATGTGCAGCTTGTTTGTGTACGTAGTGTAGTTTGTGCCCACAAACTTACGTATCAGTCATGCCAGAGTGTGTGGAGAAAGCCATGTCAACCAAGCGCGATTGACTGCTTGAACTCAACGAATCAACTGCTCTCTGATACAACATTGGAGTATTTTGCCTCCAATCGTCTGCAATACCGTAGACAGCTAAGCCGATGCCATCTGTCCAGGACGCAAAATCAAAGGGGAAGTGGCAGCAATTCTCGTAGCACAATCAGCTGCTACAGATTTCTGTTTCAATGCGTGGCAGGTGTCTAGGATAGAAGATGGCATGCTCTTCACAACCAGGGTCACGAACGGGTCTGTGCTATCTGAATTTGTCCAGTGCAGCCACGGCATCCTTTATCTTGTAATGACGAACTTTCGAAGTCAATCTTCCCAAAGGCCATGAGAAATGTGTTTCGAGGCAAGTGCAAGAGGCGGAACGGCTGAGCAAGCCAGCGGAAAGGACGGGGTTGTTGCTGTTGTTGTTGTTGTTGATTGTCGAGGTCGAGGTTGCGGTTGATCAAACCAGAAGTTCGAAGGTGGCGAGGGAAATAAAAGGTTGAATTTGTGCAGAGCAATATGCATTGAAGCAAGAAACCTCATCGCTTACCCTTCTTGCCTTTGCCCTTGGCTCCACCCCCTCCACCTGTAATACTTCTCACATCCTTCTTGGACAGGGTCAATGTTCCACCCTTGAAGCGTCCAATGCTTGGCCCGCCAATACTCCTTTCCCGCTTCTTCTCCTTGTTGACATTCCCGACCTTTTTTTCTCTCTCAAGCACGATTCCTGCCTCCTTGGCTTCGGCTCGTCGCTTGGCCTCGGTGTCGCGTGCCTTCTGAATCATGTGTTTGCGCTGTGCCATGGGCATCTTCTTCTGTGTAAAGACGGATGACTTGGCACCGAGAGACTGTAGATATAGATCGGTGGATTTATGACGCGTAATGCCCGTTGCCACAAGTGTTGGTGTTGAGTTTCCAGACGAGGACGCGGAGAGAAGGTGCGATTCGCGCAGCAATTTTTGAAGCGCTAGATCGTTCTTCAGATTCGCAACATCACCGACCTCATCGTCGTCTTCCTTCTTATTCTTCTTGCCTGTGAGAATCTTTGTGGGCGCTGTTTCAGAAGTTGGGGGCTTCGAAGACATGAAGGCCTTTTTCAATGCTCTTTCTGTGCCGTCTCGCTCGCGCTTGGTGTCTGTATATTCAATGACTTGTACATCGTTCTCGCCTTCGCTAATTCCTGACCAGTCTGTTTCTTCCCCATCTTCCTCTTCCTCTTCTTGAGCCAGAACTTCCTCAATCTTGGGCTTCTTGGGTCCTGAGGGCAGAGGCTTGAACTTTGCCTCGAAGGCACGTCGAAATGCGGCTTGCAGATCTTCGGCGCCCGAGTCTTCTGAGTTCGAAGACGGTGTGGGTGATAGTGAGGGTTGTTCGAGCTCTGCGCGCGTTACACGTTTGCGTTTTCCTAGATTAGGCGCCATGATTGTGTATGTCGAGGCTGTGGTGTCGCGACGCTCAAAAGTTGTTGGACAATTGAATGTGACAAAATATCCGCGCTAGTCGGACCTCCGTCTGCTGCACCGCCGACCCCGCCGTCACCATCAGACTTCCATCTCAAGTCGCAGATGGTACATGACAAGCAACCACACACCAAAAATGACTCGTTTTCGGCCATGTATAGATCTGCATGCTGGTAGCGTCAAGCAAATCGTCGGCGGCACACTCAACACCACAACGCCCGATGTTCTCAAAACGAATTGGACCTCGGACCACCCCTCCGCATACTACGCCGACCTCTACAAGCAACATGAGTTGGCAGGCGCACATGTCATAATGCTCGGTCCAGGAAACGAACAAGCCGCAGAGGAAGCACTGAAGGCCTGGCCGGGTGGGATGCAGGTGGGTGGTGGCATCACGGAGAAGAATGCGCACGAGTGGATTGAGCGCGGAGCAGAAAAGGCGAGTCTTGAAGATTGGTTATAAATTGTGTAATTGGGGTCAGTGCCAGGGCTGATCAAGAACATAGTAGGTAATCATAACATCCTACCTCTTCCCCGACTCCAAGTTCTCCAAGCAACGACTCGATGCGGTCCTCGCGGCGCTCGACAACGACAAATCGAAACTTGTGATTGACCTGAGTTGTCGGCGGAAAGACGATAAATGGTTCGTTGCGACCAACAAGTGGCAGACTATTACAGATTTTGAATTGAACCAAGGTACACACATACATATACATATCACCACTTGCGAAAAGAACACCGTCTAATAGAAGCTACAGAATCAATATCCCTCCTCGAACCCTACTGCGCCGAATTCCTCATCCACGCCGCAGACGTCGAAGGTCTCCAACGTGGCATCGACCACGAACTCGTCTCCAGACTAGCTGAATGGTGCAGTATACCAGTCACCTACGCTGGTGGCGGTCGATCGATTGCAGACCTCGAGCTTGTGAAGGAGCTGAGCAAGGGAAAAGTCGACCTCACGATAGGAAGTGCGTTGGATATCTTTGGTGGGCAGGGTGTCAAGTTTGAAGATTGTGTCAAGTGGAACAAGGCGCAGGCGTGATGGAAAAGGTCGCGCGGATTGTTCTAGGAAGGCTGTGAGTAAGCCAAATTTTGAAGAGCGAGAATGCTGGTAACGAGAGTCGTCCATTCTTATGCGCAGTGCGGTAACCTATCAACATGGAAGCGTACAAGAAGTTCCCCCATCGCTTTTCCCATCCCCTATCTCCAACCCAAACCCCCTCAAAGCTCTATATACACATTCTCAAACCCACCATCCCACTTACACTCCTCCGCTACCTTAAAAAGCCGGCTTAGCATTCTTAACCAACATCTCAAAGTAAGCCTGGTTCCACTGTCCCGCCTCCGGACTAGGTTTAAACGCATCTTCCTTGCCGCAAAAGCTATCATACCGAGTCGCACTCGGATCACTCGTGCCATCACTCTCACCCCCAGGCTTGACCCACACAAAGCTGTCCACCAGACTACTTCCCGTATTCGACGTCGGGCGCACGCCAAACCCGGCGCCATTGACATTGCACCAGTTGCCCCACTCGCGGCGCAAGCCCGTGACGGCATTGCGTCCCGTGTCGACAATGGCCTGGCCGGGCATGCCTGCGCTCTTGAGTTCGGGGGAGAAGAGCTCGATGTAGAGTTTCTCGTTTTGCGCCTTGTTCCACTGTGCGTCGGTGGCTGTTGAGAACTCACCCGGGGTCTGGTCCCAGGCGTTCCAGCCGGCAACATTGGTGGCGATGCCGCGGACGGATTTGGGACTGCCGGCGTTTTTGTAGACGGTGGCGAGTTCTTTGGCACCGGGCTCTGTTGGGAGATGGTGTTAGTGGAATGGGCTGCGGATGGGATGGGATGGGATGGGTGGTATGGGGCTGGGAGTTGGAATATGGGTGTGGACGACGTACTCAGGTTGTCATTCCAGCCTAGCCAGCCTCCGTGACCAGCGTCAATGTACATGGCGATATTGGGCATGTTGAACTGCTTAAGGGCGTAAGCCACACCCTCGCGGTAGCCTGAAGCCGAGTCCTGGCAGGTCTGCAGCTTCGCGTTGGTGACGAGGTTAGGGAGCGAGTCGGGCTCGATGACCAGTGCGATGGCGGTGTTGGGGTACTTCTTGAAGATGGCGACAATGGCTAATTATTCATGTTAGTCCTAGGCCTTGATCTGGCATCGATCTGTACCGAGCTCAGAGTCACGTCTGGAGGACTTACGGTCAATGTACTCCCTCTTGTAAATGTCGAGTTCACCAACGGCAAGTTCACCGTTGGAAGCCTTGGCAGCACAGTCACGACCGGGGAGATCGTAGATGACCAGAGCGGCGATCTGATCACAAGGAACGTCCTTGATACCATCCTCTACCACGGCAATCTTGGCACGAGTGTCACTACAAGTCCGGTCAGTCACTGCCAGCTCTGCTCCACCAGCGTAAACCGACGAAAACCTACATCCACAAAAAGGTACCGACATTAGCGACCTTGGCTGCTGCAGACGCCAATGCCGTGTCCGTCATGGCAGCCGCTGCGGCAGCCACCTCAGACGAGTAGAACTTGTTGGCATAGATGGACCGGGATGCAAACGGATTGCCAGAAAGCGTGACGGGAGTGGCACATGCAGCCGCTGCAGCACGAGCAGTGATGGGGCCCTGCTCCGTGGGCGACGGGAGCGCGAAAGCGCCATTCATGGCCAAAGCCAAAGTGGCAGCGAAGAGACCCTTCATGTTTCTTTTCTCAAACGACGACGAAAGGGAGTGTGAGTGAGTGAGTGAGTGAGTAGTCAATGTGTGTGAAGCATGGCAGAGCCTCTTTATAACGATACAATGGTATACCCAAGCAAGCTAGCATAGTACCAAATGAATGAGCCGCCTTGCCAGTGGGTTTGAGATCTTCCAGGTCATCAGGAAGCAGGCCCGTGAAGCGCGGGTAAGGATCTTAGATGTGCGAGGGTGGCATGGAAGCGCTTGCGAAATGAGGCTTAGATGAAGTAGGAAAGCTGGCGGTAGACGTACATACGCTCATCTGTAGTCAAGTGATGCGATATTAAACGTGCCGAACAATATCCACTTTTGCGAGTGGCGATTTCGTATGGGCTAAAAGACTCCTCTTCTGGGAATAACGGCTTCATCAGAGTTCAATTGTGTGATTCGTATGGATTGAGCTATCCAGCTGGTTCCAAATATGAGATGTGAAGCGCAGTCGTCTGCAAATATCGAATGACCCTCTGACAATTTCTCTTGGTGTCCATGTTTTGCTCCTGGCATGCCTTTCTTGGGGTCACTGTCGGAATAGATGAAGCAATATCTACATGAGACGGTTTGCTTGTGTGGGGGATAGGGATCAATTACCTCGAAGATCTTCACGTAAACTGTGGCGGCCTCCCGTCCTGAAATTACAATTGGTAGATTGATAGAGTAATCAATATACACCACGACTGACGGCTGCGGGCAAACCAGTTGACTCTTCCTCAGTCTGCGTAAGTGTCACCTCGAGTAAGTTGCAGAGCGGGAGACGCCCTTGTCACAGTATGAGCATTCTGGTGCCGATCAGGGAGCTCATCCATGTTACCATTCCTAAATATTAGCAATGTGACTGAGGCCTTGAGACTCCACTAGTGCACGAAGGGGTGTCAATCAACATTGCTTTCCAGAGAAACCTTCCGATGACGAAAAGCGACGGAGATGTGCTTAGTCTCCAGTACTTTACCATTCATGCTATCTTAGCATGCTACAAACCATTGCGGCATCGTGTAGCATAGGGTGAAGACAAAGTGTGGCTTCGCATGTTCTTGCAGGGTAGAATGTTGCCCACATGACTGGTAAGGTTGATTTATGTAATTGCGGAGGCTCTTTAGCCGACACTATATTGTCGCCCCAGGTTTCATGGTCTGATATTAGAGTATGGAAGACTTCTGGAAGTCCCAAGTCACTGGGATACGTTCCCGACAAGGTAATTACCTAGCCCAGTGATACCAAGACAGAGCTCAGAAGGACCCAGAGCCAGATACGGCAGGGTCGCCATTCCAAGATGCTTCACCAGTATTCTCCGCTCGAAATCCACAAAAGATGCATTAGAACACGCTCGTACATGGCCAGTCACGATATTCCTCTACCATACCACAATATCTCTTGAGGCCACAGCCAGCCTACCGTCCCAAAAACGCGATCCTTGGTCGTCCGCAGGCCTGCACAGAAATGTGAGAGAGTCAAGCCCATTACAAAGGTCTTCTGTGAGTGGGTGGTTAAAAAGGTGAGGTTGTTGTTTGGAGATTAGATGACACAATCAATCATGTATTCCCTCTGTTTCCTCCCTTGCT